CTCGTTCAAACTACGACGGATACTACTTCAACGATAGTCGAAGCAACATCCTAATGGCTAAGGCCATCGACATCAGTTCGACCTCGTTCGTACCACGACGGATACTACTTCGACGACAGTCGAAGCAATCTCCTAATGGCTAAGGCCATCGAACATCAATTCGACCTCGCTCGAACCACGACGAGAAGAGGAGGGTCGAGAAAGGGGATCCGCTTCCTCTGACCTCGGTGGAGCGACTTGCCTTTGCAGCTCAGTCAACTTATCGGCACTAGCACTTAACTCGCCCTTGAGCCCATCAATTTCTGCCATCCTGGCACCAAGCTCGGCGGTCAAGTCAGCCACCTTCCGCTGCAAGTCGGCATTCTCCGCCGTCACCCCCGACTCAGTTCGAGTTCATCATCTTTCGCCCTAAGGAGGGCCTCTAATTCACTATTATGGGCAACGGCCCTCATCAGCTCCCCATCGGTTTCCTCCAGCTCCGCCCCCTGCGTTCCAACTGGGCCTCCCTCTGTTTGAGCCCCTCGCAGAAAACTTGAAACTCAGGGTCCTGCTGGTAGAGGTCGACCACCGCTCAATGCTTAGCGCGGTATTTTTGATATTTCATCGACATCTTTTTATAGAGGTCCATCCTCTTCCGCTCACGACGGCCTCTCTCCACCTCCAAGACGAGGGTCTGAGAAGAAAATAGAAGTAAGTACATTCCCAAGTCAATCCCACAATACACAAAAAGGGGGGGGGGGGGGAAGGGAATGAAGAAATCTACCTGTAAGGCCATGCCGGCAACTCTCCGAGACAGCTCTGCATCATTCACGGTTCTGAGCGTCTCGCTCTCAGGAGCGGCACACAGCAGGGTAAGGGTTGATGCAACCTGCTCACTATTTAGCAGCAAGTTATAATCTCCCGGGATCACAATGCAATAGTTAGACCCATCTGTCTCCATCTCCACATGGGTGTGACCACCCACAAACTCGTTCACGTCCTCCTGGGCAATGTCGGAGCCCGACTCATCATCTTCCTTGCTAGGTCCTCCAACGTTAGTCGACGAACCTCCCTCAGCGGCACGCATCAAACTAATACTAGGGGCGGCACTCCTCTCCTGGGCCGATCTCCCCGATAGGATGGCATCAGCCATGAACACAGGTCTTGGCATCATTCGGGGCGCCCCACTTCTGTCAGCTTCAGTGGCCACCCCCTTTCCCATCTCCAGCCTTCTCCTTTTCCTCTCCAACGGCTCTTCACCATTGGAAGATTCATCGACGGGTTGCGAGGCCGGTGCTAGCGATGTCAACTCCCCCATAGCTGCAGTTGCGGACGTGGCCCCCGTTGGGAAGTTAGAGGATGACCCTCTCGGACAGACTCACACAGTATGTCACGAGCGTCCGAGGCGACGTCGGGTCGCATAAAAGCAGGGACTGGCACCCTCCTCCTAGAAGCACCTCGACCTGTTACCATAAAATCACACAAGTAAGCAGGGTCGAATAACCGATGAGACAAGAACTAAAAGTCTACCTGAAGAGACTTTGGGGCCGTAGCGTTGCATGAAGACAGGCCAAGAACGAGTCTCTTCCGCGTGAGGTAGCAGGCCGGCGACCCAATTCCTGAGACCGATGATGGGCTGGGACGGACGAGCCATGGCTGCAATACAAGAATTAGAGTTGCAACAACAACAGGTAACGAGGAACTTAACGAATGGCAACACTTACGTGTCAGGTTCCACCTCTCTGGGAACCCGGTGGGGTTAGAGACCATGTGCTCGGTCCTAACAAAGAAATATTTACGCCAGAATCTACGGCTCGCTCGGTCGTCAGTTCCGACCACCAATCCTTTTGTACCACGGATTCTCAAATGCACCATGGTCCCTCTCAGGAAACAGGCGGTAAACAAGTGTAAGAGATGATGAACCGAGACGTCACATTCAGCCAACTCCGCGTATTTGGTCAGCAGTAGAAGCACTTTAAGTGTATACGGCGTGAGTTGAGCCGGGCAGATGTTATAGAATCTGTAGAACTCCTCCGCCAAAGGAAAAAGAGGAAGGTTGTAGCCTATCATAAAGGGGTATTCATAGAAGGCACAGTACCCTGGTCTATGTTCGTCAACGTGGTCTCCCCCCGCTTGGATCATCTCTACGTGGGCAGAGATACTGTATTTAGCGCGGAGGTCGTCTAAATATTTCTGTTCTGACTCGGAAAGCACTGGAATCAGAGTGAGAGAATCCTTATTGAAATCACACCGAGACGAAGAATGCCTCGGTAATAATGCTTCCACCATAAGAGGACTGATATCCTCTTCCACCTCCACCTCTCTGCCATCGGAAGAGGGTGGTGCGTTTGACGGAACAACCGCCGGAACCCTTTCGTTGTTACAGCGAGGTTTAGGCATGATTTTGTTCTAGAGAGAATTTCACACAACGCAATGAAGAAGAAGAAAATTTTCGGTCAAAAGCAAAAGTACAGGAATATGAAAATCTAAACTGAAGGGGTGGAAAACTCTTACAAATGACCAAAGTTCGAACTAAGTTGAACCCTTCCCCTATTTATAGGGTTAGGTGGCGCCGGAATCGAGGCGGCAGACTTCAAATCAGCGCGGGAAACCAAGCGCCAAAGCATCAGTTTCCTGCCTCGTGAATACGCGCAACGATGACGCATGCGAACGCTGACGTCATCCAGGGAAAAGTGTTTTATTTCGACGCTCTGACAGTTATGATTACCGTCTCCCACTGGTCACGTCGTAACCCTTTGACAAGTCAAACTCTCCTGAACAGAGGCATCGATTCCGCCCATCGAGGACGCACCTCACTGCGACCCCGATGAGCGGAGGGACTAACTGTATGGGGTCGAATTTGACCGATCACGTCCCTAAGTCAACACGACCGATCACTGAATATCTACGAGCCAATACAGGGGGACGACCCAGGGATAAGAGGAGAAGCGACCCCGCGTCATCATCAGTTCCGCTATAGGATGTACTTTAATTTTGTCATTCCCGCAATTAAATAAGGATCCTCTATTATATAAAGGGGATCCGAGCCTTGTAATAGGCAAAGAATTTTTAATATACAAGTTCTCTTGCTCTCCCATCTCTCCATTGCATCTTCTCTCTCTCTCTCTCTTCCTTCTACTATTGCTACTATACCGATTATCAAGATTATCCTAAGGTTTATTATTTTCGATTACGATTTACCCTTTCATCTCTTTTGATTGATTTGCTTAAAAAGTATTTAAAAACTTTAGAGTCAAACACACATAGGATTGAATGTCCACTTTGGACAAACTTAATTAACTATACTAATAGTATTAGAACAGGAGTATATTTGGACCCAAAATATAACAAAAGTATATTTAAACCTTTTCTCATAGTACAGAGGTATATTTGGCCCTTTGCCGTATTTCATTTCAGCACTTGTGCCCTCCATATTCAAAAGTTAAACCGTAGCATCTCATTGAGTAACAGTGTAATACTGCGGGAATTAAATAACAAATTTAAACATACCATTTCATCTTCTTTACTTCCATTAGTTTGATTTCTATGTAACATAACCAAATTCAAATTTACAAAATTTATATGATGTTCCAAAACTTCTCTTTTTGTATTAATTGAAAAGTTAATTTCGTGAAAATAAATTCTTTTTATGCTAGAAAATATAACTATATTACTCTTCAAATGATAAGAAATTATTGACTAAAATTTTTGTGATCAAAATTATAAAATTAAAAATTAAAAAAGTATTTATCAGTTTTCACAATTAATATTTATGCATTAACAACAACAATAACAACACATCCAGTATATTTCCACATTTAATATTTATGCATTAAACAATTGAATTAAGAAAAGAAAACTAAACCCATCAAAAATTTTATATGATATCTATATATATANTAAAGCAAAATAATACTCTAATAGTATTACTTTTAGAAATTAATAAAAAATTAGATAAAATTATTAAAGAAAAAGAGGTAAAAACTGCAAAAACTGAAGTAAAAATTCCAAAAGTGTATATATATATATCCTTCCCTCCCTGGCCGTGTTGAGAAAATGTAAAGTATGTTGCTCTGCCAAAGAAGTTCCCCTCCAGTTCTCCGTACAATTTGTCGTGGATGACGTCATTCTTCAATGATATCATGACATGGATTATAATTTCTTGGGGCTTAATTCATCCCTCACTATCTATACACTATTTGCTTCTTGTGTCATAATAATATGTTATTTGGTACATGACATTTCTTTTTAGTTTCTCTCTATATATACTATATTGTTTACCTTTAATATGTGTTTATAACTAATTTTTTGTCCCTACCTTTATCATAAGTCATTTTTCCTATACTTTTCATTGCTCACATTTAACATTTAACGTAAATTCTCACGAGTTTTACCTTACTTTCTAATATATTATTAATCGTTTTTACTTTTAAAAAAATAAGATCACAAAACAAACTAATTTAGTTATTACAACAATAGTAACAAATTCAGTTTAATCCCGGAAGGATAATGTATATGCAGACCTTACCCTATCTTGTGGAGGTAGAGAGACGGTTTCGATAGACTTTCGGCTCAAGGAACAATGAAAATAAAATAACAAACAGTAGCAACAATAATATAATAAGAACAAATGGAAACTAACTTAGTTATTATATAAATAAAGTCATTTGGTTAGAAAGATGTTATCCCAGGATTAATTATCCCGAGATTAGTTATTCCACCTTTACACGGGGATAAAAAATAGTACTACAATTCCAGTATTAATTATACCGTACTTTTCTACCAACCAAACATGGGATAAACTCTTCTGAAATTTAGTATCGGGAGTAATTATTCCTTATCCTAGTACCAAACGAGCCCTTAGGAAATTAAACGTTGTTAGACTAAAAATTTACTATACGTTTCTACGAAAAAAAAACTTTACGTTTCTAATTTTATTTTTATAAAAGAGAAAAGCAGGGAAAAACGAAAAAAGTGACAGAAAGGCTTTACAAACGCCAACATCACACTCGCAACAAACTTTACAAAAACCGTCTCACGCGCTCACCTGCACATTCTCTCCCTGGCGTAAGTATTCACTCAACGCCAGTAGTACTTCCTTCAAAACACTGAAGAAAGCACTCACTGTCACCACTTCTCTTGTTTCAGATCAGAGACCGATTATAATGGTATGAGCTCTGCTTTATTATTGTTTTCACTGTATGAACTCTGCTTTTTTGAAATTTGCTTGTGATTGTGAAATATAGTATGTTCTTCCACATATTTTCATGCATTCTAGCAATTTCTGTACCAAATATATGGCACAATTAGGAATTTGATCCAATAATGTTAAGTAGCGTACTGTTTTCTTCTTTTTCCTTGCAAAGCCGAACGGCAAAAGTCGCCTAAAGTAAAAACTCAGTTTATGTCTATATCTCTCCGTCGAATTCTCGAAAATTTTCAGCAAAATATTAAATGTGGATTTTATTGGTGGTCACTGAAGAAGGTTCTAATAGAAAAGGGAAAGGGAATATAGGTATAGAGTAAAAGGTTTTAGTGGATTCTAGCTCCCTGACTCAGTTCTTCTACTCGACGAAATCTTCGGAAAGTTAAAATTAAAAAAAAAAAAAAAAAAGACGACCAATAGCATTAACTACTGTAACAAACGTTAGCTTTTTTCATGTTATAAAACCTGGAAGAGCCGAAAAATTTGATATCCAGCTTAATGTTGCCTGCTATTGCGTTTTGTTTTTTAGTCTCTAGCTGAATTTTTATGTGTTGTGATTTGCATGCAGGGTCGATACACTGAAGATTTCGAGGAGAAAGAGCTGTTGGGTAAAATATTTCTTTTCAAGTCATTTTTTAATAATTTCTTTCCTAATTTGACACTTTTTCAAATCAAAATTTTCTATGCGTTTATAATGACTGAACCTTGAATTAGATTGGAGAGCCTGATAGGAAGTATGGTTTGAATAATCCTTTAGTAAGGATATCAGCCACTCGCTGTGAAGTCGGAATAGATGGCATTTAAATAACTCCAGCTCCAACCTTCTCCTTTGTGAAGTGTTTGTCAATTTCAATATATTTTGTTCTACCCTGTTGAACAAGATTGTGAGCAATGCTGATGGCTGCGTAGTTGTCACCGTACAGTTTCATAGGCATAGTCTCTGTTCTTCTTAGTTCCTCCAAAATTCATTTAAGCCACACCAGTTTACATATTCCATGTGCTGTAGATCTATATTCTGCTTTAGTACTGATGCGGGCTACTGCATTTTGTTATATGCTTCTTCAAGTTACTAGGTTTTGCCATATGAATGTATAATAATCTAATGTGGACCTTCTTCCCAAAATGGATCCCGCTCAGTCAGTATGTATGCTTCGATACGTGTTCATTTCTTCTGAAATATAGCAATTTCCCAGAGAATTCTTCAAGTATATCAGGATATGGTAGACTGTGGCAAGATTCTCTTCATAGGGTAAATTCATAATTGACTTAGATTCGCAGCAAATGCTATATCATGCAATGCATGTGATAGGTAAGTTTGCCAACTAGCTTTTGGTACAGTGCTCTATCCACGGACTTTCCTTCTATGCTTATCAATTGCTTTCATTTAGAGGGTGTTTGGATTGGCTTAAAAATTGGTTAAACCAACTTAAAAGTACTTTTCGACTTGTTTTGATGTTTGGCAAACACCAAAAGTGTTTTTAAGCCAAAACAAGCCAAAAACCATAGATTGGACTAGGGGTGTTCATAAAAACCCGAAAAATCGAACCAAACCGAAAACCAAACCAACCCGACCAAAAAAATCGATACTTTTTGGTTTGGTTTGGTTTTGGTTTTGAATTTTAAAAACCGATCAAATTTGGTTTGGTTTTATAGAAAAAATGCCAAACCAAACCGACTATAGGAGTAGCTATTTCAAATTTATTATTACACCTATATATATGTATATTGTTATACAAAGTTTCAAAAAATTTATGGTAAATGTTAATAGTTTGCACTTTTAATTTAGTTCATTTACCTTTACATTCTAGTTTGATTGGTAGTTTTCTTTTGTTTAGTGTAAGAATCCATTTCGTGTTAAAAATAACATATTTTTAATTGAGTCCTTAAATTATTCATCAGTATTTGATTCAATTATCATCAATATATCTTGGTAAATAATAGATTTCTCAAAGGGCAATTGATTTGATACTGTTACATTGAAAATGTGGTCGCCGGAATATGTGTTTGGTAGTGTATGTCTTATATTTAAGAAAAAATCGACAAATAACCGAAAAAACCGAAAAATCGACATAAACCGAATCGAGAAAAACCGACTTAATTGGTTTGGTTTGGTTCTAATATTTGAAAAACCGACTTACTTGGTTTGGTTTATTTTTAGGGAAAAATCGATCCAAACCGAACCATGAACACCCCTAGATTGGACCCTCACTTATGATTTTTTAGTTAAAAGCTCTTTAAATTTGACCAAGTATTTTACATTGCTATCCCTGATACTTTCTTATAATTTCAAAAATATCCTTCACCATGAAAATTCCTAACTCCACTCGTTTCTGAAATGCACTACCTGTCCTATGTTGATTTCTCATCCTTCCATCTCTCCATCAACGGAAAAATGCTCGCTGACACCATTATTGATTTTAAATTGTATATTATGTGTGTTCTCCTTTGCCCCTCAAAAGTCAATTACAGCTTAGTTGCAGAAAGACACAAAGAAAAGGCTCTTTTCTGTTCATGTTAGATATTTTAGAATGCTTTTACTTTTTCTTTGTGTCTTTGTTTTCACCTATTTTCCAATAAAAGATTACTCCCAATGTACTACTTATCTACATATGGTTCTAAAAGGGGACAATTTTCGCACTTTTGCACGCTACATGTTTGCTGAAAAAACAGAATGACAAGTTTACATGTCAGTGTTCAGTTTGTACTTTCATAATCACACCGTGAATGTTTGTCACTTAAATATAATTTTATCTAATTAATTTGGAACTTGGAGTGAATTGAGACATAAATTAGTTTGTATTTGAATTAAAATATTACAGTAGTGAGCTCCTTTATAGTGTTGACAGATTTAAGCATATTTCAGTCATTTAAAAGAAGAAGTGCTTATCAGCTTTTTTTCACCTAAAACATCAGCTGCTTTTTTTTTTGGTTCAACACACGTATATGCTTATTCACCAAACCAGCTCTAGCCCTTAAAAGTGCATTTCAACACTTGTGCTTGAAAGCTACTTAAATTTAGCTAAGCTAGACACCCTCTTTCTCATTCTATTCTTCTTGAGTAAGTTAATCACATATTTCCTTTGTGATACTGTTAATTACCTTTTTCGATCGAGCTACCTTCATGCCAATCAAATATTTTAGTGGGCCTAGGTCCTTTATTTAAAATTTCAAAGCTAGATTGCTCTTTATGAGTTCCGTTCAACCTTGTCATCTCCGGTTCTCAAATTTCAAAGCTAAATATTTTAGTGGGCATAAAACTTTCATTCTCTTACGGGTCATTTGGTTAAAGGGATTAGGTGGGTTTTCCCGATATAAGTTTTGGATTAAATTTATCCCGTGTTTGGTTGGAGGTATTAGTTAAAATCAGTATTATTTTTATACCAAAATCCTGGTATAACTTATCCCATATAGAAGGTAAGATAAGTTATCGAGTTTATAATCCTAATTATAACCCGAGGATTATAATCTTGGCATATCCTGGTTTTGAACCAAATGACCTCTTAGTGTTTGTGGGACTAGCCTCAAATTCTCTTCATGTTTCCTTTAGTTGCGGGGATAGACCAAGATACCATTGATGAACACGATCATGAAAGGGTCAAGAAACGACTTGAACACTCTGTTTATGAGGTTTGTAAAGGTTGTCGGTGTGTTGGTAATTCTCTAAGGACATCAGAAGAATCTCATAATGCCCCTCTGTGTCCCTGAAAGTTATCTTAGGAATATTATCACTCTTAATCCTCAACTGATGATAGTCTAATCTTAAATTAATCTTAGAACAGTGCATAACTCCTTGTAACTAGTCGAACAAGTCATCAATGTGAGGCAATGGATGTTTGTTCTTTATGACCATCGAGTTCAGTTGTCGATAGACCATCTTTCTTTATAGCAGATAGAATTGGTGTACCTTGAGGTGAAACACTCGCTCTGATGAACCACTTATAAAGCAGGTCTTGCAGATGATTTTCCAACTTCCCTTAGCTCGGCTAGAGCCATCTGGTATGGGGATTAAGAAAGGCTATGTACCCGGTGCTAACTCGATCTCCCTACCGGGTGGCAAACACAGTAGATCATTTGGGAACAATATTTGGGTATACACTAATAACAGGGACTCTGCCAAGAGTTGGAGTCTCAACTCGAGTGTTACTGTAGTATGAATCCAAGACAACCTTTACTGATCATCCACTGTGTTTTAACTTATAATAATCTTGCTCGAAGGCACCACTGAAGCACTCTTTAACAAAGTGTAGCTCATTTGGAACGTCAACTTCACGACGTTGGCATAATAGTCAAGTATAGTATGATATGCCACCAGCCAAAACCATGTTAAACATGATCGAGTCAGCCTACGTATCTTTACCATGTACTATGATTTTAAACTCAGCTTTGTGATTAGCCCCAGGAAGGCCCAAGTAGGTGTTAGGTAAAGATCATTTTCTGCATCTCAAAGCCCAATAAACCTTGTTACATTGAAAACAACAGTTGCAGGAAATAAAACACTCTTCATCCAGTTAATATTAAGGTCTTAGTCAGCTTAAAAATCACTCTCAAATGTCTTAATTGCTTCCTTTCTGCTCGCGAAAAATTGAATTATCATCATCATATAGAAGATGAGATATAGCCATACTAGTTTTGTCTCCAAAGGAGACTTTAAAGCCTTTAATCCAGCCTGATTCTACAGCAATTCATCCTACTTATAGCCTCCATAACCAGAATCAAGAGGAAAGGAGAAATGGGCTCCTTTTGCCTTTGACTTATCTCTGCTTGGAAGAAACCAATTGGAGCCCCAAATAAATATTGAGTATCTAACCGTAGTCCCACGGTGTGCTGTCCAGTCGATCCATTTAACATGGTCATAAACTTTTCTGTTGTCCAGTTTACTGATAATTTGACCCTCCATATTTTAATTAAATTATTACTATCAACTAGGTTTCATCAAAACACCAGACTAGTTCAATTTTCAAAAATCATATTTCTCGGTCTTTGGTCAAAGCCCACAAATTTCTGTGTTTTAATTATATCCTAGGTTTTGAGTAGTTGGGTATAAGAATTTAGCATATGAAGCAATGAGTAAATTAAGAGCTTTTGTGGAATAAAAACATTTAAGTGAGATTAGGAAGATTGATCATAGAATCAAAGCTAATGAGAATCTTACCAAAAAGGAACAAGAGAATGCTACTTTGAAGATGTTTCTCCGAGATCTTAGTTTGAGCAAATTATGTCAAGTGGTGCTTCATATAGAAATGGAAAGGATTTGACAAAAAACCATGCTCAGCAAAGTAATTTGCTGGTACTTTTCCAAGTATAGGAGTCTTAAGTCCTAATTTCTATATGATAGAGTGATGGGGTATTACAAACCTTGAAATGACTGGTGTATCTTATATCTTTTTTCAAACTCTCATAGAAGTTTATAACCTTCAAAAGGTTGGTGTATCTTATATTTGCTTTATGAAAATCATTAGCATGTTTCCTTCCGAACTAATAGGAAGACCTATAGAATGCCGATTCTTCTCTTCTAAAATAGCGAATAACTTTTTGGGATTTATCTTTACAATGATCTTTTGTTATTTGATTTGCAGGGAAAGGTGGATTCGCAGTTGTTTATCAGTGCAAGCATAGACTTGACGAGTCTTTGTACGCTGTGAAGAAGATACCTTTTAATGATCAACAGCTTCAGGAAAAATTAAGGTAATATTGTTTGTTTAGCATAAGATAACTTTATTGTACGTTTTCAAACTTAAAATGTTTGTTCTTCATAGGGAGGTGAAAATACTAGCAGTTGTACAACATTCTAGGGTTTTACGTTATCATCAGGTATATCTATTTTTCTCTCTATGTACATATACCTTATGACCCAAACCAGTATTTGAGACTGACATCCTATGTGGAAATAATACAGTGGCATAGACGGGTGGGAAACCCATTATTTTTTGCTTTGAAGAAATTATATCCTAGTTTGTTTTCCAGAACTAAGTTTAAATATTTGTTTTGTGATGCTTGTGAATTTTTCAAGCATATTAAAAACTTTTATCTTTTGAATGATAATAAAAGTACAACTCCGTTTTTGACTATTCATATTGATGTACGAGGTCCTACGCAAGTAGTTTCGTTGTCTGGTAGTCGATGGGTTTTCTTATTAGTTGTTGCACTAGGATGACTTTGGTGTATTTGTTAAATGCTAAAACTGAAGCTTTCTCATGGTTTGGTCATTTCATAAGGTGATCTGTATCCAATTTGAGACTAAGGTAAAAAATCTTGCGAACTAACAATGTCATATAATACATGAATAAAAATGTTGGTGCTTATTTGGAGTCTTACGGGATACTCCACCAATTAGTTATCCTTATACTAGTGCACAAAATGGGGTTGGTGAGAGAAAAAATAAGCATTTGTTAGAAGTGACAGAATCTTTTATGTTTACTATTATTCTACCAAAACCTTACCGGGGAAATGCCATTCTTATAGCTGCCTATCTCATCAACATAATGCCACTTAAAATCGTTAATTTTCAGAGTCATATGAAATCTTTAAAGGTAAGAATGATTATATCGTTCCTTCGAAGGTATTTGGGTGTGTCTGCTTTTTTCACACTAGGAACTTTGAAAAATTGATCCTAGAGCTCTTAAATGTGTTTTTATTGGGTATTCTCCAACACAACTAGGGTAGAAATGCTACCATCCTTCCTCTAGGAGATCCTGTATCAGCATGGATGTTACCTTTCAAGAATCTGAGTCCAGTATTACACAGTCACCTCTTTAAGGGGAGAGTTATAAGCAGAAAGAGATGATTCTCTCAAGTTCCACTGTTGAAACCACTATCACTATTGGGAAAATTGAAGTTGGAGGAAAAATTCAGGGGGATATTATTGGGCATCGGATAGGCCTGATTTGAAAACTTACTTTAAGGAGAAATAGAGTAGAAGAAGCCATTATGCAATCTACCAAAGCTGAACCTTCTTCTACTAGTGAGTTATCTATATTTCCTAATGAGTTAGATTGACTATTGCTTAAAGAAAAGGAGTTAGATCTTAAAGTCCTCCTCATAGGGTTTCAGGATCAAGTCAACAAAAGCCCTAAAAGAAATATCTACTGGAAATGGAGGAAGGTTTGTCAATGCTCCAAAACCTATTTCGGGCAAATGAATCTATGCGGCTCAAGAGAGCCACGATTTGCAAACTGTGGGAAGCATATAGGAATTGTTTCTCCTTACTAGTAGAATACGTCATCTTCTAAATGCCTTTATCTAATTCCATAACCCCTGCTAGTTCTGGATTAAATGAGAAAGGTTTTCCCTCGGTGTCGGTGTTTCTAATTCGAGACGTCAACATCAAATGTCTACCAGGACATAAAGCTATCCGCAACCTAAAAAGGAGCCAGATCTTGCACCTCCAAATACCCTTCATCTAAATTTGTCTCATATAATTCTTTGTTTTACTCCTATAGAGCACTTGCCTTGCCTATTTCTTTTGTGTTTATTCCCCAGAACTGGAGGGAGCTCTTGCAGTCCTAAATGGAAGCAAACTATAATTGAAGAATTGAGTGCCTTGTCAAAAAATTAAAACTTGGGAACTTGTCACTTCATCACCAGACAAGAAGTTGGTGGGATGCAAATGGGTCTTCAATGTGAAGCACAAATCTAATGATTCGATTGAAAGATTCAAAGCAAGATTGATAGCCAAGGGATTCGCTCATGCTTATAGCATAGATTATCAAGAAACATTTACCTCTATTGCTAAAATGAACACTATTAGAATTATTTTACCATGTTTGGTTGGCGAGTGGATTTTCTTTTCGGAATATATTTTCTAGTGTTTGATTAGTAAGTCAAAAAAAATATCATTTTAGAAAACACTATGGGGTAGGGTGGGGGAAAGGGGGTTGGGATTGCGGGGAGAGAAGGGGCTGGAGTGGTAGGTTGGGGTGGGCAAGTTGGGAGTAGGGGGTTGGGCGTGGGCGTGGGAGTTGGGGTGGTGGGTAGGGGTAGGTAAGGGTGGGGAATAGGCTGGGGAAGGTTGCAAAAGAGTTTTGGAAAATGTTAAACATTTTCCTCCAATTTACGAGGAAAATGAGTTTACGAGTAAAATATTTTCCAAAACATTTAAGCCAACCAAACATGGTAAAATTGAAAAATATTTTCCTTTATACCAAACATACCTTTTATCTAAAACATGAATGTTTCAGTCGATTATGGTTCTTATAAATAACCAGTTATGGATAGATTTTTAGTCATCTTAGGTCCTTAATGGTAGTATATGTTGTGAGCACGTGATTTTTGCCACGCTTAAATTACTCCTACAAAATTCCTTAGAATTAGGATTTTTCTTTATTATTTGAATTTTTAGGAATTAATTGCATGATTTTGTGTCTTGTTTGTATTTTTGTGTGCATTTTAGGTGCCATAATTCATAAAAAGGGTACAAAAATAGGCATTCGCATTTAGAATTCGATTTTATATTTTTAGTTTTACTAGTTAATTAATATTACTAAAATAAGAGAAAAATAACAAAAATAAATCTTTTACAATTTTGTTCCTTTAATTTCACTTTTTGTTTAATTTTTCTCTTAAAAATAGGATCTAGTTAGTTTGAGGAAATTAATTGGTTTAATTTTAGTCTACTCCATGTTTTTGCTTTTAACACGAAAATAAAAATCAAAAATGAAATTGAATTGAATAAAAGAAAGAAATTAGTTGAAAAGAAAATAAAAGAAAGAAAGAAGATCTGACTTGGGCTTTAGCCCATTGAATTCATTGGCCCAAACCAAAAATCCCCAAAATCTCGCCCAATTAGTCCAACCCAAACCCCTGATCCGGTCCAGTTCCCTCATGATAAAACGACGTCGTTTTTTGGCCAGGTAAATCCAGGCCGTCCATCGCCTATCATCTGAACATCCAGATTTGACCAAACATTTTAAATAAAAGTGTAATAACACTTTACAAAATCCAGCGACCAAACCCTCCATCCTCGTACAACCCCAGCCCCTGTAACACCACCGTCAGCCCACCGTCCTCCGCCGTCCGCCGCCAGCCGGAAATCGCCTCCGCCGGCGGACGGTCTCCGTTCCCACCCAAAATTACACCATAGGATCTCCTCTTCCCCCTCATCTCAAATCCGGCCTTAGTTTCACTCAAATCATAACCAAACTTCTCGAATCTTGGATCGAAAATTCAGACCAAAACGCAAGTTTGTCCAAACGACCCCAAATTCACACCCTACACTCCCCTAACTTCCCTCATCTCCAATCCCCAACCAGATTTCTTCGAATATCACCGGAGCTTTTCGAATTTTAAATCGAATTTTGGCCGAGAAAACCCTAAAACCCTAATGTTGGGGATTCTTTGATTTTGGGCTATAATAGCCCTTAGTCATGTGTTTTCTTATGAAAACACATGATTAAGGACGGTTGTGATCCAAAATGCCAAGGAAACTCATCAAATTCGAAGTCGAACCATATCGGTGAGTTCTGTTTCTTCCCCTTTTTCTTGGTTTAATTCTTTGCCTCTGTTCTCATATTTGTTAATTTCTAGTTTAATTTGCATTTTAATTTTGGTCAATTTTGTGCTGATTTTGTGTTCTGATTTGTGCTTGATTGTTCGTCTGTTTAGATTTTAGTCCACTTTGATCCTTGACTCTAGTTTGGTTATTAGTTTGATTTTATCAGATTAGGATTTGTTTCGATACTTGTTCTGTCTTATAATTGTTCTATTTTTAGTTTAATTTTGCTTCATTTAAATTTTAGATAATAGTTTACTCTTCTGTTTTCATAGTTTTTCAATCGACCTTGTTTGGGTTTGTCTGATCTTAATTTGTTGATTCAGTATTCCCTTATGATTGTTACTAGTGGCTTTTAATTAGTTTAGTTTTGAAACGAGTATTACTTTAGTTCAGCGTTTAGTCTTAATTAGTTATTAGGTTCAGTTTAGTTTGTTTGGTTATAGCTGATAGTTTAACTAGTGTTAGTAATTTCAGGGGTAGTCAGGGGTAGTTTGGGCACTCAAAATGGGTTGGTTTGTTAAGGCTCTGTAATTTCAGAACAAAAGTGAGGGTAGTATAGGCATTCCATAGGTAGAAAACAAAGCTAGAACACCCTAGGTCCTTCTAGAAGGGGGCCTTAGTGTAAGTTTCTGCATTCTTAATGCAGTAACTTGGGCAACAAGCCACAAATTTAGGGATTAATGTACAATTTCTGAAAATAAAAAGGGGGGAAAATGAGTGAAAACTTCTAGAACATTCCTGCCCCTTCCTTGCCTATAAAAAGCAGGCCTAATGCCTTCATTCACAAGTTTTAACAATCTGAAAAATTCCCAAAAAGAAGTTTACATCTCTGAAAATTACCAACCCTTTCCAGCTTATAATTCCCCCTCAAAATCCTCTTTTTAAAAGCTGAATCTCAAATTTGAATTTCAAAAATCAAAAGAAGTTCAAATCTGAACTCCTGTAGTAGAAACCTTCATTTTAGATCTTAAACCCTGCAGAAAAACCAAAAACAACAAAAAACTTTCAAAAAATCCCCAAAATACTGTTCCTTAGGTTAATTTGGATTTCCAGCTATTGATTTATATTGTCTAGCTCAATATTTAGTTGCTGAAATGTTCTAGACATTTCTGAGGTGTTTATCGAGTGTATTTGGGGTTATATCAAGTCAAAGTTGGGTTGTTCAAGCTTATTTTGGTTGCTACTGGTTTTGCTACCTAAAATTAACTACTGGGCTGATTGACGCAATTTCTGGGTTCAAAATCGATCTAGTTGCTGCTGTTGCTGACTCTCAATTTCTGCATTTGTTCTCTCTCCAGGTTACTCACTTGGTCTCATACAACTTGTGAAGTCAATGTAGGATTGCTAAAGCATATTAAATGAGNAGCAAGATTGATAGCCAAGGGATTCGCTCATGCTTATAGCATAGATTATCAAGAAACATTTACCTCTATTGCTAAA